AGTGGTTCATTAAACCACAATACTGATAAGTGATTAATAAAAGTCAAAAGACCAAAGAGGTCACCTTAAAAAAAAAATATATATATATATTCAATATAGAACCAAGTACAATGCATTTCTTTATATTGAATTTCTTCTTGACTAAACTTCACATTGGAATAGGGTTGTAGAAAGGTGATATAATGTTCAAATAAGGTTGGTGCAAGAGTTTTTATTATGTCTTAATAATCAAATGGATCTATTGTAGTAGTATATCTGTAGAAGTTTCTTCAACATCTTTCTTGACAGTTACCGTCTTTCGCCATAGAAAGTACCCAGGGTATCTTACTATCTACACCGGTTTTTCTTGATTTATACCCCCCAGGTATACTGTATAGCGGGGGGTATACTATCTGGGGAATCTTGTGTACAGGGGGTACATATTATAGAACAATTTGTCTGGTAAAAGACCCCCCAAGCTTTTGATTTATAAATGTTGCGAATATGAAATCTTGTTTATTTTGTTACATTTTTAACAATCAATTCCGAAAGTTTTTAACAATCAATTCTCAAAGTTTATAATAGTCAACCTCCAAAGTTTTTAATAGTCAATTCCCAAAGTTTTTAATAGTTAAAATTTATTTAAATATGGAACAAAGATATACACCTATGACAAGACTTCAAATAAAAAAATGTCAATGGACGGCACGTGAAAAACTTTATATTCTTACATATCTTGATAGGTAGCAATTGGGATTCTAGTTGGTTTGTTCGATTCTATTTATTAATCAGTTTTTTTACAATAAATGTATAAGCAGAGTTTCAGGTGCTACTGTTTGTGATACTGCTGATAAATTTGGAATTCAGCCGAAACAAATATGAGAATGGCGTAGTAAAAAGCAAGAGCTTATGCTTGCACAACCTCATATTAAGTGTTTAAATAGTGGTCCACGGCCTGCTTATCCCGAACTTGAATTAGAACTTGCTACATGGGTCAAAAATTTACGTAATAATTTAAAGCCTGTTAGTCGTTTTATGATACAAGCAAAAGCAGCTGGTTTAGCTAGTTTACCACAATATGCAAATCAGTTTCCTCATATTAGTTCATTTAAGTGGAGCAATAAATGGTTAGATGGTTTTATGCGTCGTTATAAATTTAGTAATCATCGCAAAACTACAGTTGCACAACATTTACCTACAGATTTAGAGGCTAAACAACAAGAATTTTTAAGTCTTATTCAATATCGTCATATTCAACATGACTATCCATTATCATTAATTGGAAACATGGACGAAACACCACTTAGTTTTGATATGTCAAATAATGTTACTGTTGATACTATAGGAAATAAGACAGTTAGTATTAGAACCAGTGGGCATGAAAAATCTAATTTTACTGTAGTTCTTGGTTGTATGGCGGATGGAGCTAAATTACCACCAATGGTTATTTTTAAATTGAAAAATATTCCACGACTTAGATTTCCACCAGGCATAATTATTCATGCTAATGAAAAAGGGTGGATGAATACAGAGGAAATGATTTATTGGATTGACTATGTATGGAATTATCATACACCAAATGCTGAAAATCCACGATCATTACTTGTCATGGATTCTTTCCAAGCACATATAGTGTCTTCTGTTAAAAATCATATTTCAGAAAAAAATACTAATCTTGTTGTTGTTCCTGGAGGTTTAACGCCAAAAGTTCAACCTCTTTATGTCACAATCAATAAATCGTTCAAGTCAAAGGTCTATTTTTTTTTTTTTTTTTAATTTATTTATAAAATTTTAATTTTAATTTAATAGATTAGAAAGTTTTATAATGATTGGATGTCTCAAGAAATAAAAAAATTAACTCCAACTGGCAAAATTCAACGTCCAGCATATGATGTTATTGCTAAATGGATTAAAAATGCTTGGGATTCTGTTAATATACAACTTATTCAACGTTCTTTTAAATGTTGTGGTGTGTCAACTATGATGGATGGATCAGAAGAAAATATGATCTTCGACTATGATAATTTAGGTAATTACAATACGTATGTAATATGTATTATTTATATAAATTAATTATTAATCAAAATTTTTGATTCATTAAAAATAATATCCTATAAAGATGGG